GGCCGGTATACACGCTATTGAGCATTCTGTCTTAGTAGCGAGATACCGTAAACTTATTTCCTTTGGCAGTAATAGCCATTTACCATCGGATGGATTGTAAAACCATTTGTCACTTCAATTTTATAATAAAAAAAGTAAAATTTTATTAAATTATACAAAACCCATTGCACTGTTTTGGTGTAAACGTCCTGGGTTAAAAAAAACAAACACGGTTTCAGACTGCAAGACGTTTTATCTTAGCCTTCGAGGGTAACAAAGCATCTGTGGTCTTTTTTGCTTAAGTGCTGAGTAATTGCAGGTGTCAATGGGATGGCAAAGCCAAATGAAATCAAATGGACTGTTAACTCATGTGTTGTTCCAATACAACTAAAAATGCTTTTTTAACTATGAGAATAATAGTAAAATATTTCATTCATCATAATATACTATCAGAATCCACTGATGAATTAAGTCCTCCCCTAAAGGAGATGTTTATCATAGTCAACACACTTTGCAGGTGGGTTATTAGCCGCAGTGTTTATTATTTAACTAGTCTTTATCGGGGATCTAATTTACGGGGGCGTCTCCTATTTTATTTCCCTTTGACGCCTGTAACGACATCCTCGAGACGATATGAGCTAGTTAATTCACATGCTCCTGCACTAATGTAAATAATTTATAAATTAAATTTTTGAAAGGTGCAGTGGGCTAGTTAGTTACTAACAATATTATGTAATATAAAATCAATAATGTATGAAATAAAAACAATTTAAAAATCAATCTATTAATAGGCATTGCAAGCGTTTCTTTTTTCAGATATAAAAGGTTGCTAAACACTCGGCACAACGACCAGTAACGCCTTTTATATCAAAAGACATGGATGCTTTAGTACGAGATGAAAATGAAGAAATGTAATTTAAAAAAAAACGCATAGTTCAGGAACCTGCAAAGTTTATAAAGTCCCTTTTGTATTTATAAATTGAAGTTGAAAATTTGAGTCTACGATACTTAAACTGAAATTCTTACTTTCGATAAGTTTTTGAGTAACTTGCTGGAATGTTAGCAAGTTTATTATTTTACCTGTGAAAGTGCCATTAAATACAATCATTAAAAAAAATCTGAAATATAACTATGACAAAAAAGATAAAAATTTTTGAAGCCTCATCGGCAGAAAACCTTAAAAAAATATAACTCAAAAACTACCAAAATTCGGATACCATACATGGGGTATTTTCAGATACCTCTAGGTGTGAGGAATTAAAAAAATTCTTTTGCATGTCACTGTTTGGACACCAGCCTGTATAACTCGCCGAGCCAGTAATTTTGTGTTACCTTCTGTAAGAACCAACTATGATAAAAATAACATAATGAGCACACTTATAAAATCAACTTATATATATATATATATATATATATATATATATATATATATATATATATATATATATATATATATATATATATATATATATATATATATATATATATATATAATGTTTTTTAAACGAGATTATTTAAAGTTATTTATAATGATGAAACTATGTATTAACGATCGACCGACGTATTTTTTACTACGCACTTGAATTATATATATCATTATAATTTTATTATATATATTATTGTTCTCATTTAAGTGAAAATTGTCTTCATGAAAAATTAAGTTCTTGAAACCAAAGTAGGTTGGTCGGTGACCATGAGTTGGCCAGTTACCATTATGTGCACTGTAAGTTCGAACCACATAAGATGTGGCTGTAGAGTTAGGTCTTACTGAAGAGCGTTCGGCGGGGCCGAATGTTCATCATGAAAGGTCTCACTCACACACGCACACACAAACACACGCACTCCTATACTAAAGGCTAATCCTTGTAGATTTCTCACCTTTAGAGCCAATAACTGCAGCGAGTTGCATGTCAGCCGCTGTCGGCATTTCAGGTGTTGTGCTGATGGGCCCTAATGAGAGAAACACATGTTTATAAAATAAATATATTGTAAAGTATAATGTTGGTTTTCCTGTATTGGATTCCTTTTTTTGTGATTTTATAAAGGTTATTACTTATAATGGTTTATATCAAAGTTGACGTAGCTCTCAGACTAAACGTTCACTGAAAGTATCACGAATCGATCCTGGCCAGCACCAAAAAAATATTAATTGCAATTATTTTTTTTAAATATTTTATTATTTTTTATTATTATAATTTGTTTTAAAGAGGACTTGGCCACGTGCTTGGCGATGTAGGATATTATTATAAATAAATGTCAAAAAAATTGTGTAAAGTCCTACGGGCGTCAAGGTGGACCATTGGTTCATAATCCTCTCAGAAATATGAGCAATGAGACGTATAAACTAAGGGAAAGCATTCATTATCATTACTTTCGTTGTTATTATAATTAACATGTTTCATAAACTTCCAGTCTCATGGATCGTAATGATGATACGATTCGGAATTTTGATAGCGTGATTTAGGCTTCGGTATGTTTCGCTTGCGGCGCGGTGACAGCGCCGTCACAGTAGTATCGTTATCGGCACGACCGGGGAATAACCACGCTCTCATAGAATACCAGCGTGGAATAGTATCTGCAGCGATGCTGTGTTTTGTATGGTGAGTGTAGAGAACCGGAGACCCTTTTTACTGGATAAGAGGTATTCCTTCTTAGTCGTCACGGGTAAAAACGCATCTGCATTTAGATTCTTGATCAAGGATTGATGCAGACGTCTATGGGCCGCAGCAACCATTTACCATCAGGTGGATTTTGTTTGTTTATCACCCTTATCCTATATTAAAAAAACAAGATTTTTCCGGCATTTCCCATAGTCGCTTCTTACAACGCTAACGGTACGGACGCACGTACGGCATGGACTTTCCGAGGAATTCACAGTTTCCTCATATATCTATCTGTTGAGCATGAACATTCTAGATATTTTATACATACTCGTAAAATAACAACACTTTTACGAATAAAAATCTACTTCAAGCCTGTATATAAATGATAAGACAAGAGCAAAAGTCTGCTTGCGATTAAGCTCACATCAAATTTTCTAACTATTAAATTATCTATTCTATTCTTTTCTATGGTAGAATTGTAGGAAAAATATTAAAAGGAAATTCTTACCCGGATAGTAAATTGCTTCTTTCCTCACTGCGTATTTTGCTAAAGGTATTCGGAGAGTGCAAATAAACTCCGCAGGTGAAGGAAGGTCAGCGTCGAGCAACGTAACCGAAGCTACCGCCGAGTATCTGCCGTTCACCAGTTTCAATTCGTGAGAAACTCCATCCAGTCTCCTTTCAATAAAACATATAGATGTTATATAATATATAACATCTATAATATGTAGCATTATGTAGAGTGTGACAGTGCGATGAATATTTTTACTCTCAGTATGAACTGCCTGTTGGTAAAAAAAAAATTAAAGTTAAATAGAACTAAAAAAACTGAATCGATTGTACTGGAAACTTAATTATTTGTTAAGATGAAAAAAAGATGAAAAATTCACACACATACACACACACACACACACACACACACACACACACACACACACACACACACACACGCACGCACACCCACACGCACACCCACCCGCACACGCACACGCACACCCACACCCACACGCACACGCACACGCACACGCACACGCACACGCACACGCACACGCACACGCACACGCGCACACACACACACACGCGCACACACGCACGCACACACGCACGCACGCCACACACACACACACACACACACACACACACACACACACACACACACGCACACACGCACACACACACGCACGCACACACGCACGCACGCACACACGTACGCACACACGCACGCAACACACACACACACACACACACACACACACACACACACACACACACACACACACACACACTCACGCACGCACGCACACACGCACGCACACACGCACGCACACACGCACGCACACACGCACGCACACACGCAGGCACGCACGCGCACACACACTCCCACACGATTTTCACATTAATATCTACCAAAATTTTATACTACAGAAGTAAACTAAATTAATCATTCATATTCCTCTGGGCTAAAGCTAGGGTAGAGCAATGCAATGACATGAAACTGCATCTATTTTCCTACCTTCCCCGGTAGTCATGCTTAACAGGCATTCAGGCAATTCTGGCACAGCGCCAGATTATTTTTGCTATATACATATGACATTAAATTAGACGAATGTTTGATCGTAAAATTAATGTTTCTTTACAATGCAATAAAAATATAAAAATAACGAATTTTTACTCAGAGCAATTTTTTTGCTGAAAACCGCTATTTATATATATTTCTAATCAACTTGGGTAGATTGTGATAATTTGATATTATATTGCAATGCAACGTCGACATTTAACTCGAGAAGAGCTGTGAGAATTCTGTAGGCTGGTACTTTTCAACTGGCAATAGGCACCAGGCAAAATGTGATTTCGAGGTTGTGGTCACGCTACCGTTCCACGGGGGAGGTGGCGAAGAGACATCCAGGACAAGCCGCATTACTACAGCTACATAAAACCATTTTTTGCAAATTGCCGCGAGAAGGCAACCATATATACGATGCGGCGATGTAATTGTCCAAAGGCTGAACAACACCAGGTGCTTGTGAGTGTCCAAATTGTGAGGAGGAGACTGCACGAAACTAACCTTTATGGTCTAGACCACTTAGGGTTCCAGCTTTAAGTAGAGGAAATATTATACAAAAACTGCAATGAACTGAAGAAAATGTGAACTTGGAACCCCATCAATGGTCGTTGGTGGTTTGATTTTCATCCTAATTGTACTCACACGTACTCTGAGGAAAGTTTCTGTTCGTACTATCCGGCCTCAACACTCTCACGAAGTTCATTCATAACAATGTGGTACAATTATGGAGTGGTAAGAATTCGTTTTGGTGAAAGAACAGACTTCGTTTGGATACAAGACACTATGGTGGCTGAAAATAATGTAATTAGGTGCTAGAAATTCTTTTTTGTCTTGTCATATTGAACACGCATGGGTCATAATTTCCAGCTTATGCACGACAATGTCGGATCAGTCTGGTTGTACAAACATGATGTGATGTCCCTAGAATGGCCAGCGTAATCTCTAGATTTAAATTCCATAGAAAATGCTTAGAATATGCTTCAAAGAAGAACTCTGAGTGCTTTTCTAGAAAATATGGTTACAGAAGAACAACTTTTTATGCATCGCATGACCTGGGACAATATTCCTCAATAGGAGTATCAGTTTATACATTCTAGCAGCGCAATTTCCTATTTGTATGATAAGTGCGGCATTTGTGCCAAATATTACTATATATTTAATATATTTAGTAAAATAGTACAATGTACAGCATTACCGCGCTGCTAGCGATGTTGTGTTATTTGAAAAAAATGTTTTGTATTTTTCCGCTTGTATTTTGGACTTAAAACCGCATTTGCATCCATGTAGTGGCTATTTACGTAATCAACGCAATAAAGCAAGTAATTTCAGGCAAGCATGAGTCTAGCGATGTAAGCCGATTGGTTAGCGAAAAGGTGCAATTGCCTTGTAAGCCAATCGATTTTATATTTTATACGATTTTTTTAGACGTTAGACGACGACTTAGACGTTATAACTAATTAGTTGCATACGTTTAAATTACAATCATAACTGTTATTGTAATATCGTTTAGAACTTTTGATAAAAGTAAAGTAGTAAAGTTTCGAACTGCCAAGCCAAGCCAAGATGGTGTTGTTATGTTCAAACTACACTACAAAAGAATAAAAAGTTAGTAACGTACCTCTCAGGTGTGGTTAGCGTGAGGTTTGGTTCAGGAAACGCTCCGTCCGCAGCACATATGACGTTTACAGTATCATCGTCAGTCTTGTTCTGGATCAGGCGGAAATTCGTCTCCGGAACTGAAACATGACACTTGTAAGAATATTTTGTAACATGGCACGTAAAGTTTAATGAACTGTAAGAAATAGGCGCGTGCTAAGATGGCGAAATTCTCTCGCGTTATTATCCGCAGGTGTCGTAAGAGGCGACAGAGGGAAACGGACAGGAGATGGGCAGCAGCATCTCCCTGATAACAGCAATTATACATTAAAAAACTGCGGTTGTCAACCCAATTCGGGGAACTCTCAGGTTACAATACTCCCCATTCTATAACCAGATGAAAATTAAGTAGCTGGTTCTAGTCGGTTTCCATCATAACCACCGTGAAGCAGGTACGGGTGGACATTTTCCCAGGAAAAGGGGGCAACATTTACAAACCTATACCTAATATAATTATTAGTATAGTGAGAAAATGAGCTCACAGTCTCCTTACGGGAAGTTGTTATTGTGGCCGATGATAAACTGCAATGCTTGCGTCTTGCGTTATCATTTCTGTAAATGAAGATTCCTCACAGCCTGTAATTATATTAAGGCCATGTATTCCTGCAAAAGTAGGCATTTAGCGCTGTCCCAGCCGCTCACGAATTATTTCGCGCGGACTCCAAGGCAGTGAACTTGCATGACACAACCAGCAACACAGTATAGAAATAAGCAGTAGGACGCCTTTTTTATTTGACTTTATAAATGCATTTTTTATGATCAAACTTTTTTTTATTATAGCGATAAATTAGAGTTACATAATAAATAGAAAATTAACAACCAGTTCGCTTTTGATAGGTATGGAAACTGTATGAGTAGAGAACTGTTTTTAAGTTTCGTGTGAACACACACAACGCTAGGGGAGAAAGTCAAACTTACAGTGAAATTCATTATAACTATTAAAACCACAGGATTTATATTTATAGCATGCAATATTTAGTCTGTGACAACAATTGTATGAACTCGTCAAGAACTGATTTATTGGTACACGGAGAAAACTGACACGGGTCCGTCGTGCATAAGCGCCAGCGCGCGACTGGTCATGGTCAGGCTTGCCGAGCCGCCGCGCTCGCGCTTTTAGGAGGTATCTAAATATAGTAATTAACACAATATTTTTATCAAGTCAAACTCTGCGAATTGGTCTGTAAAAATTAAGTGGCTTTATTTAAGTACAAAATGTAAGTGTAAAATGTCAGTAGTGTAGTCATAATATTGAAAAAAACAATACAAAAAGGGGTCACTTCAGGATTTTTTTCTATCGAGTGAAGTTCTTTAGATTTTGTAACTGAATGCGATTTTGACTAGACTAGATCCTTAACTAATAGTATATATTTTTATAAGAATTTAAAACACTAATTTCTATGCCTCAGATGGTTTAAGAGAACTTAAAAGCGCGGTCTCTGCGAAATACCTAGCCTTAACTCTCTTACCGTTCTAACAAGAACATCGGTAAAAAAACAAGAAGTACTAATACCTATTACTGTATTCTTTGATAGCGTTTAATATTTAAATAATAGGAGGAATATAAAGTAATTTTTTTTGTAAAATATATTTGCTTAATCAAAGTATGCACCGTTGTTATCTATGCACTTAAGCCATCTCATAGGCAAATCATTGATCCCTTTACTAAAAAAACCATAGGGCGAGAATCAATAAACTGTTTGAAGGCGGTTTTTATAGTGTAAATTATAATATTTGTCGAAATATTAATTATGGATTCGAACTTTACATGCTAATGGTGCTTCATTTTTGTTATTTTCATTTACTTACATATTGAAAATATACTTGAATAGTAGTTATTATTATTTTATTTAGCTACTGAATTTTAGGATATGTTTTACCTTGAGGTCAAATATAATTTTGAGGAGCAATAGTTATTACCTACTAATCTTTTATCTGCTATTCCTTATTTAGGAATAATATTAGTAAATTGAGTTTGAGGGAGATTTACTGTTTATAATGCTACATTTATTATTTTAATTTTTACTTACTGGGTAGGTAATTGTTAAAATAATAAATATAGCAATAGTAAATAAATAGATATTTTTTTTAAATTTTTAAAATTAAAATTTTCGTATTTTTAAAAATTACTAAAAAAAAGGATTTGAAATAATAGATTTTCTCACAAAAGAAGGGAACTTGAAAAAAAAGGAAAAAAAAAACCAAAGCCAAGACGCGAACCACGGTACTCCGATATCACGCCCGACCGACATACCACCTGAGCTATAACGACCGCTAATGATTAGTCGAAATTTACCTTCTTATATTGTAGCAGTTTTTTTATTGCCTGAAAACATGGACAAAAGGACATTTTCTAAAAATAAATCCAAGCGTTCGTCGCTAAAATCGATGGAGCCGTATAATTTTCTCATCTGGTTCGGTTATATAAATATTTAATAAAATATAAAAATTATAAATTAAAATGAAAAGATAAATATACATAAATATCAATAAAATAAAATAAATACAAAATAATATTATATTATTATTGTTATTATTATTACTATAAGTTGTGGTTCGGTGAAGCTGCAACCTAATGGACCATGATCTGAAATTTTTATGAAAAGAAGTGGCTGACGTCAATTATTATTATTCTTAGTATTTTTTCATTACTGCCTTTTTCAACCTCACAAGATATTTGTAACTGCAAAAAAAAACTACGTATAAGTAAGTAAATCAGTAATATAGTGTTATGTATGATTCAGACTAAATAAAGGTTCCTAAAAATAGACGTAGATAAAGAAATTGCATAAAAAATTACTCAAATAAAAATGCAATAAACTTGTTAATTTTATAGGTACTTAGTAAAATATTAAAATAATAAGTTTTTTAGGATATTTATGTAAAATATAAAGGTTATATTATGTTCTAACTACGTTCACTCTTGCGCATATAAAACCGCGGAATTTCACTAGTTTTATTATCAAAATAATAATTGACAATCCTACCCTAAGTTTGCCTTGATTTTACTAACTCAAACTCGTTTTAGGAGATCAAAACATAGAGAGAAAGATAGGAGACTATTTTTTTATTTAATATGGTTGGATCTTTATTTATTTGTATATTTTTTTGTATTTATTTTATTTTATTGATATTTATGTATATTTATCTTTTCATTTTAATTTATATTTATAAACACCAACCAGATGAGAAAACTATACAGATACCCCAACAATAATAATATAATAAATAATAATATTCCACAAATATCACACAACGCCATCTAGTCCCAAGCTAAGCAGAGCTTGTGTTATGGGTACTAGACAACTGATAAACATACTTATATATTTCTAAATACATAAATAATATAGATAATATTACACCCAGACACAAAACAAATGATCGTGCTCATCACACAAACATTGGTCCTGGGTGGGAATCGAACCCACGACCTGCGGCATAGCAGTCAGGGTCACTAACCACTAGACCAACAGGCCTGACGATAACAAAATAAAGTCTCTAGCTCGAGAGGAGAGGAGCCGTGGCAGCTCAGATGGTTAGCGCTTGCTAAAATTTTCACAGTGTGCGAGCAAACCGGGTTCGGTCCCCGCCGGCACCAATAATATTGTAATTGCAATTTTAAGTATTGATTTACCACGTGCTCAGTGGTGAAGTAAAACATTGTGAGGAAACCTTCATGTCTGAGAAATAAGAAAAATAATATTTCGAAGACATGCAAAGTTCGCCAACACGCAGTGGGGCAGCGCGGTGGATAATTCCTTTCCTAGGACCTTTTCAGAAAATAGAATAGAAATAAAAAAATAATAAATCCAAACTTCATTTAAAACCAAACATATAAATTGTAAAATAGCTGCAGGTATCTATAACCAAGTAAAAAGATATTCCTTTACTCCAAGTTGTCCATGTTTCTCAAAACAATTTTTAATTAAGCTTTATATTATAATGCGGATTTTTTTATATTTAAAATTTTAATAATAAAGCATTTCGTACGTCTCAGCCGAGGCGCAAATATTTTTCGGCCGCAAATTTATAAGACCGATTTGTTATTCAAACATAAACATGGTTTTTTAATTAAATCTACCAATCATAAAACGACACGCATTTTTATTGAACACTTCCTATTCAATTCACAAAGTACCTATTATATTTGTTTATATAAAAAAGTATATTTAAGTACAATCATAAAACTAAATGGAAACACAAAGTAGGAAAATGCATTGAGTTATAAAACACATAAATCAATGGGCAAATGTAAAAATACTGGAGGCAGCAGCCCTATCGCATGTTTACGTACCGCACGGCTGTAATATTTATTTCTAAGATACGGCCGAGTTACAATATACCGTGACGTAAGCGCATCGGTTGGTAGGTACTGAAATAATATTATGTTTGCGGCGAAATACGGACCGCGGCGACCAGCGACGCGCCCACCACCTACTAACGCATACAGCGTAATGCCGCACGCCCCTTTATCATAGAAGTCACACAATTTTCGGAATTATTTCAATTAAAAGAAAAAAAACGAACTTAAAAATTTAAATAAAACGTGGAGAATATAGATTTTTAATTATCTATCTATTAGTGTTATCCTCAAATGATTAGAGCGTTGCGTTTAGCAACAGATGCATGTAATCAAGAATTTTAGTCATTTTTTAAAAGTTGATTTTAAATGTATTTATAGCACATAAAAATAAATTAGAACGTGTAATGTGATGATAAGATATCGAAAAAATAATGTACTTTTAGATGTAGTTTATTTTTCATAACTAATGAGATAATAGAGTCTGAAAAACGCACTTTCGCAACATTTTGGTCAGGGATTCACCTTAAGGTGATATTCATACTGTAATCTAGTTACTTACCTGTAGTTAAATAATGTAGTGTGAACGTTATATAATTCAGTCGTCGGTACAGTCGGTCGGATCAGTCCACAAGTCAAATGTCATGGCAAAGTGCTGAGCAGTATCGGTGGAAATTGTGTTCACTTTGTTCAACATTGATTCATATACATCTGACAAGGCAGTGCCACCAATAGTGTGATACGCGATAAAAATCCGTAAAAATAAGTTTTATTTAAATGTGCAGTGTTCGCATAAATATAAGAAATCATTAAGTTCAATAGTTATAAAGTTTAATTTTCAACGCAAAGAGCTACATCATCTGTCTGGTTTTTTTATCAAATATTTGACATATTTTAACAAACTTAACAAAGTAACTTACCAAAGACAATCATTTGCTTAGTTCTTGAGTCCTCTTCCATGAATGTTGAAACGACACACGTGTAATCACCAGAGATGTCGGTGTTGGGCTTCACTATGCGCAGTGCTCTGTGCATTTTTAATGGATCGTTTGATGCTCTGTAGGTTAGATCGACACGTCCTCTCAATATTCCCATGTCCTGTGGCTTTTGCGACACAATCCATTGGTAGACAGGTCTAGCTTTGTTTCTGAAAAACCACTTCACTACCAGTCCCGATGTGTTGTTACCATAAGTATAGTCACAGTCTAGAATCACAGCGTCTTGCACACCGTACTGTATTATTTCTGGTACTACTATTTTTAATATTTTAACTGCGTACAATTCTGAAACAAAGAAATAAAATTGAGTGTAATTTACATACTAATATGATAAGTAATAAAAAAATACATTTGACTTGTAGTTTCGGTTTCATCCAAAATTTTGGATCCGTGAAGATCCAAAATATTTTGGTTGCAAATAGCATATTGTAAGGGATTTCCTTATATTGAATATATCCCACATATCTAAATATTGAAGTAGCCCTTTTTTTAATTTTTATTATAGAAGATGGGGCAAACGACCATGCCGCTTATCTGATGGTAAGTGACTACCGCCGTCCATGATCAACCGCAGCACCAGGGGAATTGCAGGTGCGTCGCCGGCCTTTTAGAAATGAGTAACCTCTTTTCTTGAAGGTCCCTAAGTCGTATCGATCCGGAAAAGTCGCCGGGGGTAAACAATTCCCACAGAGAAGTTGTACGAGGAAGAAAACTCCTAATAAAACACACAGTAGTGGACCGCCAAGCGTCCAGATGGTGAGGATGGTATCGAGAATTTTGACGCGATGTGCGTTCGTGAAATTTGGCGGCTAGAACTAATCCGAATAATTCCTCAAAGCACTCCCCTTAGTAAATACGATAGAAAACGCAGGGATGCAATATGATCGTTACTGCACATTTTTTACGTAGCCGGAGTAACAAAACCCTACAGTCCACCTGAGGATAAGTGGCTAGTGCAGCCCAGCTAGATGATAGATGCGTTGTTACCTCTGATAACTAAGATAGTGTATTATATGACATTATTTTTACGTCACAATAAGTGTTCCCACTTATGAGTTTAAAGATGGGTATCCATTATGTTCGCGCTCCAGCAGCGATCCACGCTCCTGCAACTGCTCCCGGTAGTGGGTACTGTTGTTTTCATCCAAGTTCAAAATGATTTTTCTAGATAGTCCTTATAAAGTTCTACTTTTCAGATTTTTTTCATATTTTACTTACTTATGGTTCAAAAGTTAGAGAGGGGGGACACATTGTTTTTAACTTTTGGAGCGATTATTTCCGAAATTATTGACATTATCAAAAAATGATTTTAGTAAACCCCTATTCATTTTTAAATACCTTTCCAACAATATATCACACGTTAGGGTTGAAATTAAAAAAATCACTTCCCACTTTACATAGAGGGGGGCTACCCTGATAAAACATTTTTTTCCAATTTTTATTTTACTACTTTGTCGGCGTGATTGATACACATATTGGTACCAAATTTCAGCTTTCTAGTGCTAACGGTCCCAGAGATTAAGCGAGGACGGACAGACGGACAGACAGAAATGGCGAAACTATAAGGGTTCCTAGTTGACTACGGAACCCTAAAAAGGTACCTACTTATATTGCAAACAACAACGGGCCAGTTTGACTCATAGCGAGTTAATGGGGGCATCAATAATGATCGGAAAGTCTAATATTAGCGCAAACAAACAAAAGGAACAAGCTTTTGCTGAATGTAAACAATTAATATACATTTTTGAAAATTCATCGAAGACATATTAAATCTAGATTTTTATTCTTAAGATTTTCTCTCTTAGATAATCCATAACTATTAGCCTACAATACGCAAAGCATTAATATTTATATAATTCTCAATGAAATGTTGTTGAAAGCTTATTTAAATTCATCATTGGTCCTACAAAAAAGGAGGCTCCACCTAAAAGTTTAAGTCTTACTCGAAGTTTCATCAACGAACGCATTAAATTACGAATTGAGAATAGATACGATTTGATAAAGAATTCATAAAAGCTCAGTTCTTAAAGCATTCATTTAGCACCATCATCATGCAAAAGTCCACAGCTGGACATGGGCATGTTGTAGGGCAGGGATGGCGAACCAATGGCACGCGTGCCATCAATGGCACGCGACACAATATTTTTTTGCACGCCATCGATCACAAAGTTCACTATGAAGTATTTATTATATTACGAACTAACGCGAGTGATCCTAGTTACATCGAGGACTTCCATTGCTAATAACGCGTAGTTCGTTTCATCATCGTCATCATCATTAAAACCCTCTAAAAGTTCACGCCTCCTCCAGGGAATGCATAGTTCCTTTACGCATAGCATAATAGACAATTTCGGTGGCACGACTGTATTTAAAAATTCATTTGTACTATATTTAGGATTTTGCAACCCCAATATAATGTAATAGAATACTCAAGCCATAGGATTCGGGGTCCGGGTAAGACAAGAAACAAATATGTGAATGTGTAAGGTATTTATAAGAAACATGTAAGGCTACAATAAAGACACTACAAAGCAAACAACTGGAAAATTCTTAAGCATAATCTACATTAATCTTAGCACTAAGTTAGGTAAGCACTTAATATTTAGCTAAATCTAAATCTACACATTAACCGCAAAATAAAATTAAAAGCATCGAAACATGCAAAAAATTCATCATAAAATTATACGAATTATTAAAGGAAAAGGGTAAAACAATAAAAAAAACACAAAATACAAAATAAAAGGGAAAAAAATAAAAAAAACTAAATATAAAAAGAAAAAGTGAAAAACAATAAAAAAAACTAAATATATTATTTTATTTGGTCATGTAGAAAGAATGAATGAGGAAAGAGTGACAAAGCAAATTTATATGGCAGATGTGAACGGCCGAGTCGGGAAGGGACGCCCTAGGAAAAAGTTTATCGACCAAATTGGCGATATTTTGAAAAGGGGCCACGTTAGAAGTACCCTTAACCGACGAGCATGTACGCGTAGATATATAGATGTAAAGGAGGCGAAAGAGGTATGTCAGGATCGTGCCAAATGGAAGTCCATTAAAAGCTAACTTGCTTTAAATTTTTAATTAAAATTATTTTCCCTTGTAAAACTGTAATTCTTAGTTTTTTATGTTCTAAGTATTCGAACTACGAGTAACTTTTACCTGACGAATTCGAATTCTAATAAGAGACAGGCTTCGTTATATTATATAGGATTTTATGATGATTTAAGAAATACGGTCAACATTGATATTCACCGCTGTGGATTACCGCAACTCATGCTGAGTTTTTAGGCATGACTTAAGACGAACAAAGTATTTTTTTTTAAATTTAAGACGTCTTTATTTATTATATTTTATATTCTTGTATATGTCGATGTCTTGTTCCAAAATCAAGTATTTCTTTCTTTATGTCTTAAATAAAGAGTCACGAGATTTCTTTACATTTTTTCAATGACGTCACGAAGAGGAGGTTAACGCTTTTGATGTGTATCTTGTGTATATCTTTTGATGTGTACGGTATCTCTATGTATATGGTATGTCTGTACTTATATAACGAAACGGCGCTCGCTTGCGTCTTATGAAGTATTTATCATAAAGATGTGATTCTGTCTGACGAACGTGTCATTGTATTCCTTACTTCAACAGCCTTTTTCACTAACTTAATAAAAGAGAAGGATCTCAATTTGACTGTATTTTATGTAATTGTGTATATTACGCGATATCTTCGTCAAATGCAAACTACATCAATGGGAAATGAGATAGACTCATTTGAATTTGTACAAATAATTTTACCTCTAAGGGTGGAAAAATATGGAAAGAACATTTTAATTTATTTACATATATAGACGACTTATCATCTTGCGCCTTTGTTATTGTTTAATCCACTCAAGTGGGTTAAATAATTAAGCATAAAAAGTTAAAGCCGGCTTCAAAAATCTAAAAAGAAAAATCATTCCACAGCGCAGCACTTCATCCAAACAAGTGATATATACAGCGGCCTATCGTTCACATACTGGGCCGGACGCAGACCCTAGTGACCCTACTTCCGGACCGGACCTCTAACAAACATATCGAGTTCAGTTAATCGGCTGAACATGACGCCGAGATGCGCATACGGCCTTCGTCAGGATAAGTCTAGGCACCATATTCCCATATCATCCCTTAGGCTAAAATATTAAGTACTCGTATAATAATCAAGTGAAGTTCATTTTCCTTTACTCAAAAAGACTTACAATTTTTTATTCATAAAAAATTCATCATTTTTATACGTGTGTGAATATGTAAATGAATTCGTGTAGATAAGTGTTTTTTATAAAATATTTGTGATATTGTTGGCTGTATCTCAAATGAGTTATGCGCCGTTTAATTTCGGATTATTCTGTAAAGAACTAAAACACAAATACAACTGTAAAGCATGCCATAAAAGCAACATATTGTGCTTTCGAGTGGTAGCGCAGTTCTGGTAATTGGAGTGAAGGGCGCTTTAAACATGCAGTATTTTGACATTCATATAAGAGAATCTATTCTCACAAAGATATTGTCTTAGATCATTCATCAACTACTTCCTCAATATTCATATTAAAATCTAAAATTAAATTTCTCAAAAGTCTTAGTATCCTACAAGTGGCAGCAACGTTGAAACCATATTACGGTATATAGATATTACGATCAGAGAATACTTGCAATTTTTTAGATTACAGCTATTTGTTTTTACTTGACTAAGATCAGTGTGCTGTGAAAATAGCAGCTGATTGTTATTGTATATAAATATATTATCTGTCAGTAGTGAAGGGTAAAGTGTATTGTTACAGGATATGTCGCATTCCGTATAAGTCCTCAGAGTTGACAACACATCAGTAGCCATGTTGGTTTGAAGTTGGCTGCAGGTGTCCGTGAAATACAGAAGTCACTTACCATCAGTTAGACTGTAAGTTCGTTTGTTACTTTAGTTTCATAAAGGAGAGGTAAATCTCCGTTTTTATAATATTTAAGCGTTACCATAATTTAACTTCAGCTATTTGACTTTGAAACTATAATACCTAGTTGCGGTTCGACCATATAGAAAGCTAATCTCTTATACGGCTTTTTGACGGACATCGC